AGTATCTTGGAACAAAAATAACTGAAGACAATAACGGATCGCAAACAACAAAGGCAAACGAAGAGAGACTATGTGTTTCGGAAAGAAAAATCCTACGGAAGATCTTTGGTCCTGTGCTGGATGAAGCATCAGGACAATATAGGATAAGAACTAATAAAGAGCTTGAAGAACTTTACCCAGACGCCAACATCATAAAAGAAATAAAGTCCAGAAGACTCCAATGGGCAGGGCACCTCAGAAGACATTCTGGCGAACGAACAGTAAGACTGGTGTGGGAGGAAGTCCCAACTGAAAGGAGACCACGCGGACACCCTCGTCTCCGGTGGCGAGATAATATAGCAGGAAACCTAAGCACTATGGGCGTGGAGAATTGGATGGAGGTTGCTCAAGACAGAAAACAGTGGAGACATGTTGTCGAGTCGGCTAAAACCCACGAAGGGTTGTAACCCCACGGAGTAGTAAGTACTAAAGTAGTAAGTACTAAAAAAAATTGTGGCTCTTTAAAAACTTTAAAATTTTGTAAATTGTAATTATTGGCCCTTCCAACTCAAAAGGTTGCTGACCCCTGCCCTAGATGAAAGTCTTTTTGTAATTATTTCAACAGTCAAACCCGTCCATACGGTTGTGACGAAAACAGGTTTATTATTTACTAATTTGATTGGTCTATTATCGGTCAATTGTTTTTGATGTCTGTCTTGTCTCATTTTTATACATAAGAAATTAAAATGATAGAAAAGAATAATACAAATTTCGCAAGTCTTCAATGAAATAATAAAAACATAAATAATTCTTATCTCAAGTACACTGAAATTTGATCTAGTGTTTACGTTTTCCGAATGTGTTAATGGGAGTAGTTACACCCATAAAAAGTGATTTTTTAAAAATTATTGGACAATTATCGTTATTTATTTTAAAGCCACTCCATGTTAAGTAGTAAAATAACAGAATTGACGATTGTTTAAGTGACCCAACCTCATAATGTTGTCTTAAAACCTGGTTTATGGCGTCATGCCATAAACGAGAATGCCATAAACGAGGATGTCATAAACGAGGATGCCATAAACTTTTTAAAAAGATTACAATGGAGAATATTTGTTTCTGTTCTCAATCTGATGAATTGTGACATTTAAATTTATTTGAGAATATTTTTGGTTATTTTTCTTACTTTTATCCTCTTCTTCTTCTTCCTTCTAGTATGTAGGCTTTAAATATTAGCCTCCTAAATTGTTTAAATTGTCGCACCATCTTTTTCTTGGTCTGCCAATACTTCTTCGTCCATCTTCTGCCATTCTACTTATGTGTTCGTTCTACTTCTGTTTTCGTTTTGTCACTCATCCATTTATGTTTTGTATACTGCATGCTCTTCTTATGCTTTCGCTTCTCTCCATATTCAACAGACTTCTCCCTGATATTCGTGGGAGTATTTTCATCTCTGTTGTTTCTAGCAGTTGTCTCGTTTTAGATGTGTCAGGTCTTGTCTCCGCCGTGTATGTTAATATAGGTCTAATTGCTGCTATAGATTCTTGTTTTTTTGTCTTGTCTTAGGTGTTTGTTCTTCCAGATTGTGTCATTAACCCTAGAATACGGGTCATTATAATACATCGGGCATTTTCGCCCACTCTCGATTATTTTAACGATTTCCCCAGTTAAGTACCTTCCAGATTAGTATCGAGCTTGATAGTGTCTCAGACGGTTGTTATAATTTTCAATTCTAAGACCATATTTTGTCGCTTGGTTCGTAATTTTTACGAAAGTCCCGTGTTTACGTCGTATAATCAATCAGCTAGTTCTTATTGTTTGTATTTTGATTTTGAGTCTTTTAGTAACAAAAAATTAAGGTAAATTGTTTTTTCATTCTCATTACATAATATACTATTTGAGTTTTTCTTATTAGGATGTCAAATAAAAAGTTTTTGTCCGCAAAAGAACTGGAAGGGGAAGCGGCACGTATTATGAATGGGGAAGACAGTGATCCAGACCCGTTTGAAGATAGTTGTAGTGACTGGGAAGAGGACAATTTGGAAGAGGAATCCTCTGGCTCCGATAGCGAGGTTGATGCGGAAAATGATTCGTATGTTTCTCCTGTTCGTCTTATCCAAGAGGAATATAACAGTCCAGTTCAGTCTGAAGAAGAGGTAGAAGCTAATTTAGATAAAAAAGATATTTCTTTATCACAAGTACGTAAACGTTCAAAATATGTAATAACCTTTAAAAACAAAAGCCTCAAGAGTAAAAATGGTCATAAATGGTCAACAGAGTTGCCTCAAAGATCTAAAAGAACAGCTGCTAGAAACATATGTCATTTTATATCGGGTCCTAAAGGGGCTGCAAAAAACTGTTCTACGCTGGATGATCATTTTTTGCATTTTTTTTTCTGATAATATATTTGATATAATTCTGCAACATACAAATGCAGAGATTGCCGTCCAAGCTCGAAAATACAGTGGCCATCAGAATGTTAGCATAACGACAAAAGACGAATTGAAAGCTTTATTTGGTATTTTAATTCTTTCTGCGGCAAAGAAAGACAATCATTTATCAGCAAGGCATATGTTTGATGCCACCATTTCAGGCAAGTTTTACAGATCTTGTATGAATTGTGACCGCTTTTTATTCTTGCTAAAGTGCCTTAGATTTGATAACAAGGAAACAAGAGAAGAGAGAAAGATAAATGATCCCTTTACACACATTCGAGAAATTTGGAACATTTTTATCGATACGTGTAGAACATCGTATTCTCCATCCTCATGCGTCACAATTGACGAACAACTTTTGGCATTCGGAGGTCGCTGCCATTTTAGGATGTATATTCCTAACAAGCCAGCGAAGTATGGGATAAAAATTGTTATGGTATGCGATTCCTCAACCAAATATATGGTAGATGCAAGTCCTTACTTGGGAAAAAAAAAACAGAAACAAACGGTTTGCCTCTAGCTGAATTTTTTGTAAAAGAACTGACTAAATCAATTCACGGTACGAATCATAACGTAACTATGGACACCTGGTTCACATCGGTTTCTCTTGCTGACCAATTGTTACAAGATCCCTACAAATTAACCATGATAGGAACCATTCGTAAGAATAAAAAGGAGATTCCTAAGGAGTTCTTGAAAGTAAAAGACCGAAACTCTAATACGTCAATGTTTTGTTTCGATCAAAAAAAGACGTTAGTATCTTACATGCCAAAGAGAAACAAAGTAGTTTTGTTACTTTCAACAATGCATGAGGGAGCAGAAATTGTAGAAGAAACCGGCAAGCCATCCATAATTCATAACTATAATGAAACTAAAGCAGGTGTAGACACCTTCGACCAAATGTGTTCAAATATGAGTTCCAGCAGAAAAACACGCAGATGGCCATTATGCGTATTCTATGGAATGATAAATATGGCCAGCATAAACTCTTATGTTATTTATACTTTTAATATGTTAAAGAAAAGCGAAAAACCTATTTCCAGATATCAATATATGATTGAGTTAAGCCTTTGTCTTGCAAAACCATGGATGCTACACAGATACAACACTGCAAGTTTACGTCAAGTCATAGCTGAAATCCTCAACATAACTGAAGGAGATGATGAAAATATGGCACAGGAAAAGAAGAGGAAGACTTGTTTCTACTGTCCAAGCAAAAAAAAGCGCATGACCACCAACTATTGCAAGGAGTGCAAGAAGCCAATTTGCGGAGAACACCGAGGAGATATTTGTACCGTATGTTCCTAAAAATACTCAAATATGTTTGTTTTATAATTTTATGCTTTTGTAATATATACTAAGACTATATATATACTAATGAATAAAAAATTCAAAATAAAAAATATAGGCTTTTTTTATGGAGTAGTAAAATTTACGATAGTCCCGTATTTACAGTTTAACAAAAACGGTCCCGTATTCTAGGGTTAAGAAAACCCGGCGTTTTACTTGCTTTTAAGCTTTGTTGTCGTACTTCTTCTTCAACATCTCCGTAACTAGTTATATCTATTCCCAGATATCTAAACATTGCTTCGATTTTACATCGTAGTGGGTATTTATATGTTGTCATACATTTGGTGTTTTCTGCTGATATTATCTTATTGTATTTCTTAGCTGTTGTCGTACTTACTTTGCTGCCTGGGGTTATGAGCGCGATGACTGGGCGAATTGAGTACCTCAGAGGCCGCGTTCATGCCCACAGCCGGTCTCAAGCACGGATAAAAGAGGAGGGTCGATGGGCCAGGTTAGCATCCTTCTTGTTCTTGATGTGCCTATCCGTTACGAATGTTGGCGATCATCATGGCAATCTTTATCTGATCTGTAGCAGCGCGGAAAAGCTGCACAGATGTATTGAACTAACAGCATTTGTGAACCCGAACTGGTTGGGGGAAATTTGACTTTCACAGAGCTTGTAGATTCTAGCATCTTCCCATTGTAAAAGGAAACAAGGCTCAAAGAACCGATATAAAGCCTCTTACTTTTATAATGATTTGAAATATATTTTGGAGCAAAACACGTCACGGGTGGTAGGAATCTACGACCCCTGACTTTTCTTTTAAAAAACAGTTCCACGAACACTACCGTTTAGGTCAAGACTGTGGGCCATTTGTTCAATGCCCTATCTATCTGCGGTTCTAAACATACTCAACTTGAGCCTGTTGATTTAAACACATTTTGTGATCCATTGACTACTAAATTCTGTGGTGTTGAAATTAAAAATAATCGTTTTCTGATAATTGCACTTTATCGATCCTGTAATGGGGATATTACTGTTTTCACAGCTAAATGATATGCTTTAGTTGAATTCGTCTATAAAAACATGAAAATATAATGATACTTGGGGACATTAACATAAATATGGAAGTAAACACAGGGCATGTTTGTGAAATATGAAATTTCTTAACCATCAACAATCATTAATAATCAGCACTCCTAGATATATGTAATTTTAACAATTACAGAAAGTGGTGATGGTTAAAATATTAATTTGACAATAATTTTGTCTTGTAGGTAAGTTTTAATACATACCCCGTTAAAATCACTTCCAATCTGGGGCATTCTCACCCCCGGCCTCGGTCCAGCTGGATATCGGGGTCCCATGAAGGGTTGTGAGGTCATTATCTGTGAATGTGGTGGTGGTGGTTGCGAATGTGGTGAAGGCTGACTTGATGGGTGGGTAGGCGGTGACGGACGTAATGTAGAATTCTGTAAAAAGAAGAAGATAAAATAAATAGTAATTTAGAAGAATGACATTTATGAACTAAAAACAGATATGAATAGGTTCAATACGTGAATGAATATCTTCAATATTGTTTACTTTCTTTAATGATAATTAACCACAATTTTAGTTTGTAACGTTATAAACGTCACGTTATTGTTAATTTCATTAATTGTCCTTATTATCTGATGGTCTACTTGTTCAGCTTGTAATAAATTTAAGATTTCATTTCGCGTCGCCCTGTCAAAAGCACTTTTTAAATATACAAAGCACGTGTATGCTGGTTTTCCATATTCAATAGACTTCTCTATTATTTGTTTGATGATAAAAATTGCGTCTGTTGTGCTGCGGTTCTTCCGGAAGCCTTGTTGTTCATCTGCCATGTTCGCTTTTTCCTCGATTTTATCTTTTATGACTGCCGTTAACAATTTTAATGTACTTTTCATCAGACTAATGCCTCTATAATTTTCAAGATTTCTCGAGTCTCCATTTTTAAATCAGGGCCAAGTGCTTTTCAGTTTCTTAATTTTTTTATTCGTTCTTGTAGCTCTTCTTCTGATATTAGGACTCTATCGTGAGTTTCGTTAATGATTCTTTCTCTGTTTTCTTCTTCTCCCTCTCCATATAATTTCGTGAAATGCTCAGTCCATTGTTCCTCCTTAATGTTATCTATGCGTACAAATTCATTCATTTCTGTTTTTTGTCTCCTTTTCATCTTCCACACCTTTTCTAGGATCCATAGAGGTCGTAATACATCTTCTTCTTCTTCTTCTTCTTCTGGACACTGCTGGACATAGGCCTCTTCCATTTGCTTCCATCGATTTCTACTTTTGGCAATTCTCATCCACTGCTTACCCGCGACTTGTTTGATATCGTCTGTCCACCTCTTCTGCGGTCTGCCTACTCCTCGCCTGTTCTCTCTTGGTCTCCAGTTTGTTAATCTTTGTGTCCATTTTTCGAGATTATCTCGGGCAACGTGTCCGACCCATTGCCACTTGAGCCTTGCAATACGTTCTGAGACATCAGTAATTTTTGTTCTTTCACGAATGACGTTATTTCGAATCCTGTCTATCAAACTAATCCCTAGCATGGCCCTCCCCATTGCTCTTTGGGTTGTACTGAGCTGCTCTAAGGTTTTCTTTGTGAAGGCCATGGTCTCCAGTCCATATGTAGTTACAGGCAACATACATTTGTCATAAACTCTACGTTTTAGACACATTGGTATATCTTTATTCTTCAAAACAAAGCTTAATTTGCCGAAAGCTCCCAAGACAGTTGAATGCGTCTTTTTATTACGGCTATTTGATTTTCTTTGCCGATTTTAATGGTATGTCCAAGATATATATAGTGGTCTACATTTTCAAGACTGACGTTGTCAATAACAAGATTAGTTTGTAAATTACTCATTATTTTTGTTTTCTGAAGGTTCATTTTGAGACCTATTTTATTTGACTGCTGGTTTAATTCCTTCAACATTTGCTCCAGTTCCTTGATATCTATACTAAATATTACTATGTCATCCGCAAACCTCAAATGACTCCAACGCACACCATCAATGTTTAGACCTTTTTCCTCCCAGTCAAGCTGTTTGAATACATTTTCCAATGCTAAGGTAAAAAGCTTTGGTGAAATAGTATCACCTTGTCTAATACCTTCATCAAGGCGCATTTTTTCAGTTTTTTCGTCTTCATTGATTTTGATGTGGAATGTGGCCTGTTCATAAATGTTTTTAATGAGTGTAGTGTACCGTGAGTCTATTCGAGCATCCTTCAGGGCTGACAAAAAGGACCAAGTCTCAATACTATCGAAAGCCTTGTGAAAGTCGATAAATGCCATATGTAAAGGTACATTATATTCTGTGGTTTTTTCTACTAGTGTTCTGATGGTTTGTAAGTGATCATTAGTACCAAACCCTTTTCTAAATCCCGCCTGTTCAACCGGTTGATATAAATCAAGTTTTTGTGTTATGCGGTTGGTTATTATTCTTGTTAACAATTTGTATAAGTGTGGCAACAAACTTATAGGTCTGTAGTTTTCAATATTAGTAGTGTCTCCTTTCTTGTGTAAAAGTATTATTTCGGCGTTTTCCCATAGGCTGGGTATTCTTTTTTCTGTTAGACACTTATTCAGTAAGACTTCCACAACTTCTACAACGATGTTGCCGCCCATTTTTAACATTTCAGACGTTATAAGATCCTCGCCAGGAGCTTTTTTGTTTTTCATTTGCTGTAAGGCATGAATTTCCGAAGAGGTTATTTTAGGGTGGGTTTCCGAGCCGACGTTTAGAATTGTTCTGTGGTCTGTTTCGGGGTTCTGTATAGTAGATGTATAAAGATTCTTATAGAACGTTTGTATTTCCTTGATTATTTGAGTTTTTTCGTAATCCATATCTTTGGTAAATTTCTCCCAGTGTTCTTTTTTGATGTTATCTATTTCTTGGTTTACTCTATTCCTGATTCTCATGTAGTCTTCTCGTGCATCCAGCGTCTTCACTCCTTTGTATGTTAGGAAAGCTTGTTTCTTTTCATTTGCTAGTGCTTTCACCCTTTCATGGAGTTTTAAATTCCCGTTTATTTCTGTTAACTTTTCTTTTACCTAAAGCTTCTTCCGCTGCTTGTAGGATACATTTTTTAATAATTTTCCAAGTTTCTTCTATATTCTTTTTAGTCTCTAGGTTATGGCTGTTTGTTAGTTATAGATTTGATTTGCTTTAGTATTAAAACTTCATTTTATTTTTTTGTACAATAAATATGATTAATATCTTGATTTAGTTGTCCCAACCAGACCCATTTTTCAGATTTACATTTAAGAGAAGACGTAAAAAAAACAAAGCCCTAACAATTGGCTTCCAAACAAAAAACTTTCAGAGGGTAGTTATATCGTTACAAGTTGAAAATACGTTTATTTTGGTGACTCGATTTGCACTTCGGATTTGTAATTTTAATAAATTCATAAGAGAGATTTAGGAAATGGAAATTGAAACTCCAAAATAAACGTATTTCCAACATAATTTCAGAACCAAATGTTCAATGTTGTTTTAGCTTGTTCTATTATTAATACTTACTGGAAAGAATCCAGGAGGTAACGGACCACTAGGCATCCCATCTGAGGGTGGCATTTGTCCTAAGGGGCTTGGTGCTGGGCCAGTGTTCTATAAAAGGCAAGGAAAGTGTATTAGTATGAAAATTCATATAAAAAGTGCAAGTTTCTATAAATAAATCCAAACAATATTTTGAAAATTTGTATCTATTTCCCTACGTTATTTTCTTCTTCATAACATCGTCAATCACATATTTTCCAGACATACATTCCAGCATTTTCATTACAATAATTGCAATTAGCTAATATACAGCCAGCAACATTAATTAATTTTCTTTGTGGAATTTAATACTATCGCTACATTTGTCTTGATCCATCATGTTTTGATTTGTTTTATAACTAGATATAATTTAAAGTAAAAATATTCAATGGACATAAACATGTCTTAGAAAAACTATACAAATAAGGTAACATTTCTTTTACATATTTTTGAATAAAATAAAACTTACATGGGCAATTCCATTGACTCCATAACCAGAATTCACGAAACCCTAAAATATATGAAATATTTGGTTAATATATAAAAAGAAGGTACAGAGTATATATGTATTTGTATATTGTGCTCATTATTTTGTAAAATGTATTTTACGTTAGCGTTAGCATTGACCAAGTACAGATTTTATTTTATACTAACACAGATGATAAATGGCGGCCGTAGCTCAGTGGCCGTACGGCCCCTGCTTTGGAATGCACGTAAAGCCGTTGGTCCCGGTTACGTAAGTATTTGTTAATATTCGGAAATGCCCGAACCCTGTACAAAGTTGGAGCACTCACATCTTTACTAGACATCAAGGCTGCCAGGTCTAGGGATTTATCCCGAATCTAGCGATATTTCAGTATAAAAGGGACAAAGGGATTTTTTTGATATTTATTGTAACATCTAGGGATTTTTAACCGGCTCAAATATTTATCTACATAGGTCTATTATTAACTATTAAAAGACGAAAACTTGAGTACTTGGGACATGTGATGAGAGGGCAAAAATACGCATTATTACAACTTATTATGCAGGGCAAAATCCGAGGAAAGCGAAATGTGGGAAGACGAAGAATATCCTGGCTTAAGAACTTAAGGGAATGGTTTGAATGCAGTAGTGCAGAACTTTTTAGAGCGGCAGTCAACAGAGTCCGCATAGCCATGATGATTTCCAACCTTCGATAGATGATAGAACTTAAAGAAGAAGAAGGTCTATTATAATAACATTTTCTTTAATTCAGGTATAAAACCACTTCATATTAACAGTATTAAATAAGCGATCTTTAATTACAAATAATTAAACTACTAGTAAACTACTTAAGGATTCTATTATCAGATGTCGCTAACTGCCCACGTTCTTGGAATCTTTATTTTATGCTACCAAATAGATTTTTGCCAAAAATAGATTCCTATATATTTTCTTAAAGGAGAAGCAAATTCTGGAGCAGGATTAGGGGATTTACAAAATCTTAGGTTTTATAAAATAAATAATTAGGGGATTTATAGTAGGAATCGGGTGAATTCCAGGATTCGTGGAAATATATCAATAAAATGATCCCGACTATTCCGATCAAATGTCATGTATGTTCTACTCTAAGGATGTGAAACCTGGAAAGTGACAAACACCCTCACAGACAAACTGCAGGTCTTTGTTAACAAATGTCTACGAAGAATTGTCCGTATATTCTGGCCTAACACCGTCAGCAACGAAGATCTGCTACACCCGACCGGACAAAAGAGGATACAAAATGAAATTAAGTCCAGACAGTGGGGTTGGATCGGTCACACACTCCGAAAAAATAGTTCCAATATCGCAAAGACTGCCCTAGAGTGGAATACCCAAGGGAAAAGAAAAATAGGTCGCCCAGTACAAACTTGGAGAAGATCCATCATGGACGAGATAAGAGGCTAAGGGAAGTCTTGAAATGAGGTGAAGGCCTTAGCGCAAAATAGAACCCGAAGACATGTTTTCACTGAAGCTCTATGCTCCACTTAGGAGTTCAAGAACCTTATATATACCTGGAAGCCTCCAAAAGTCGAGGTATGAATTCATCAGATCTCTGGCTAGGCAGCTTGTGCAGGATCATATGGAAAGAAGACTAACTATTTCTCAAATTCCAAGGCAACTGAGACAATCTCGCTTCAATTTTAAAAACACACATTCCTGAACAGAAAAATGCTATTTTGGAAAAAAGAGTAAGGTGCTCAAAATGTTCACGATCATTGAATAGAAAAACGAAGATAGTTTGCACTAGTTGCAAAGCGCCAATATGCCACATGTGTGAAACACACATTTGCGAAGATTGCCTATAAGAATGGATTGTAGTTTTTTATGCTTTTTGTTTTTGGTTATTATTTTGTGTTGGTAGGTTAGATTTAATGTTTAAGTTTATGTTTAAAGAAAAAAAATTTTTTTGTTCCTCATTTTTTTGTCACAGGATAATGTTTAGTCTAGTTACAAAATAACTCAGTTTTTGGGGCCGTTTCTTAGTTTAATTTTTTATACGTGATAAGTATTTCAAATATTTGTTAAATTTATGTTATAACAAAATAAACGTCTTTAAGTTATTGAAGTTATCTTTTTTAAATATAAACAAATATCAGTGTCTAATTTTGCAAAACAAATTGTGGTCAGTGTAACAAAAAATGGACCCTACCAGTTACGGGTTGAATCTAAAAAAAAATATTTTCAAATTGGAGAGCGAAAAACTAAGGTGTCGAAGGATTTGAAAGAAATTGTCAAACTATCAGCTTAGAAAGCCATCACACAGATAAAAAAACATGATCGACAGAGCGAAAAATAGAAAAAACCAATAATAGTGCAAAACAAGAAAATACCACAAATTGTTCTGGGAATAAGCTAATCCATATATCCACATACAAATGATTTACCAGTGAAAAATTGTGTTTCTAGGGCAACGAGCACCTTTAAAATTAATAAACAAAAATAAAATGAATTTAAAAATATTAATAAAAGAAAGTAGCGACCATTTTTCTGGGCTACCATACACGTAGAAAATATATTATATCCAGCAGTTCTGTGATAGGTACTCCAATGTATACTTAGCCCCACTTTCCTTGAAGCGAGGAATCGACTTATCGCACTGTTGCCATATCTATGCAATAGAGGATATTCTAAAGATTTTCGGAAGATTGATACAAATTATAATAAAAAGCAGTCAATGGTTTTCGACATTATTGTTTTAATGATATTGGGATATCTGAAACTTATAATTTATTTAAATATTTAAGACTTTATGAAAATTAATATAAATGCTTTGCAACTACTTTTCAGTGCATAGTACTGTTTCTGCAAGAGGAGTGCATTTATCATTTAGATAACCTACAAAGAGTACAAAGAACTATTTATAACATCGGCGGCAAAGTTTATCATTTGTGGGAGTACATGTTGATTGCACAATCCATCAGCGAAAAAGATTGTCTTTTTCCAAAGAGTTCAGATTGAATTAAGAGCAAAACAATTGGTTTAACAAAATTAATAGACGTGTCCACACTGCAGTATTAACAAAAAAAAGCCTATGACGGTGAAGACAGTTGGATACTTATATTCCACAAATTACAATATGTAGGAATGAAGAGAACGATCTTAACCAATATCATTTAACAGCCTATCGCTTTGGAAGTATGCACATGTGCTTCAGATAACTTAAAAAGCTTTTCTTTCCATATATTGTCAATTTTTCTTGACGAGAATTTCTAGAGAGAAGTTAAACGTTATATTAAAAACAACTGCACCTTATACTAAAATATCCAACTATCCGTCATTTTCTTGTCAAACAATGTATATACAGGGTATTTCAAAAAGGTATGTCATAAATTAAATCACACAATCTGGGGACAAACATAAATTGATTGAATCCAACAGTTAGTACAAAAGTGTACACAAAAAAAGTTACAGCCCTTTGAAGTTACAAAATACTCCTAAACTACTTGACATTTTGTAATAAAAATGGACACGTTACATTCTTGTTCTGACAGTATTTTTCATACAAAAGAAACAACAAAATCTAAGCGCACAGAAAAATTTTAAGGGAGTCTGCAGCCCTAGATCCCCCTAAACTTTTGAGTATGTTCAAATCAAATGAATTTTGTGGCATCATTAAAATCTATTTCTAATGAGTGTAGAGTAATAAAATCTCATGAAGTATTCAAAAGCGCTACAGGGTAATCCGTCAATAATCCGTCAATAAATTCCGTCCGCATTGCAAAATTCTGTCGTTTCGTAAAGAGCAGGTAGGTATCACACTGTTTTAAGGGATTAGTCCATTGTTATCGACAGATAAACACTGAGCCAGAGGCGCGCTAGTGGGTTAATTGACAAAAGAATATGCATTCTTAAAAATCATATTAAAGGAAATAAAAATGTAATACAGCAGAACAGTGTTATTAAAAAAATATAAAATGTAACAATAAAATATATACGAACCGAAATCGGGAAATACTCACAAACACACACGAATGAACTTTACATATTGAAACACTTGTGGGGAGTTTAAATCAATTTATTCACAAAAACTACAAAAACTTTACTGGATACGTTATTACAATTCTACATCACTATAGTCTTCATCCGAAGAACTGTCATCATCCCCTGGTGTTATAATTATAGGGTCAACCACCTGATCGACCAAGTTGTCCAGTTCCCACATTTTATCTTCCTCTTTTAAAACATGCTGGATTGCTTTTTGCCAGTTTTCTGATGTGATTTCCATAATGGCTTGATCAAACAATACCTTGACATCTTTCATTTTAAATGTGGTATTGTGCCTTGCAACATATCCTTTAACTTGTGCCCATATAAGTTCTATGGGATTTAATTCGCAATGATATGGCGGTAGGCGTAGCACAGTTACTTTATACTTTTCTGCTACATCTTCTACGGCATATTTTATGAAGCGAGATTTATGTTGTTTTACTACGGCTAGTAGTTCCTTCTTTATTGAATTCGTCTCAAACTGAATACCTTTATTTGACAGCCAGTTAATAATTTCTTGCTTTCTCCAAGCTGAAGTTGCTACCTTCTCTATGCGCCTTGAATGGTAGCTTGTATTATCCATAACCACGACCGAATCAGCTGGAAGAAATTTTAACATTTCCCCGAAGTAGTCTTCGAAGACATCCGAATTCATGTCCTCATGATAATCTCCCGTCCGACACGACTCAAAGCTTAACAAACCTTCTTTTAAAAATCCTTCTTCGCTTCCCATGTGAGCAATTATAAGCCTCTTCCCTTTTCCCGAAGGCACTTTAATACCCGTCGAAAGGCCTTCTATGAAAGCTTGGCGAGCACTTGTTACATTTTTATCTTGCCACATTTTTTGGACTATATAACCTTCGTTTATCCACGTCTCATCAAGATAAAAAATTTTCTTGTGCTCTCTGCGGTACTGTTTTATAGTTCTCAAATATTTTCGTCTCCAGCAAATGATTTCATCACTTTCCAGTAATAGTGCCTTTCGATTGTGCTTTTCCCAGGAAAAATTCATACTTTTTA